TTTATAATATAGTATAGATTATTTTTTTTTAATTTAATTTAAGTTTAATAATGAAATAATTTATTTTTGGTTAAATAATATAACATTTTTAAAGATAATAATTAAGTATTTTGTTGAAACTCAATGATTATCCTAATTATATTTTAGATTTTTTATATTTAAAATGATATGTTTATCCTGTATTGGATTGTGTTTATCTGCAGTTAGTTACACGAATTCAGTTATGGGATGAAATCGGATAGGGATGAAATCGTTTAGGGATGAGTGAGTTTAAGAGCTTTAAGAGTTTAAGAGTTTTTAAGAGTTTTAGCCAAATGCTTTATAATATAGTATAGATATATATATATATATATATATATCTCTTATAAAATAATCCTAAGCATTAATGTGTTCTTGAATTTAAGGGGGAAAGGGAAAATAAAGGGATATGAAAAGAAATGGATGAGATTTTTTTATCTGTGTTATTGTGAGAGACGGAAAGATAAAAGATGAAACAAAATTTCGTGTTTTTGAATAGGAGAAAGGAAAAAATGTTATTTATTTTAGGGAAAAGTCTAAAAAACCCAATAGATTTTGGTGGTTTGGAATGATTAAATGCTTAGATGATTTATTGGAACAAATAAGTCTTTAGACATTCTAAAATATGTTATATAACTCATTGGATTTTTTTAAAACATGTTTGATACATTCTTATGACCTATACAACTGTTTAATTTGGTAAAATAATGGAAAAAGTCTGAAAAAAGCTAATGGACTTTCATATTTTGAATGATTAAGTCTTTAAATATTTTTTGAACAAAAAATGTACTTATATTTATAGAATGAAATAAAAAAATACTTACATTTAAAAAAAATTACTAATAAAATTTATTTTAATTAAAAATAAAATATATTATGTTAGTGATTTTTTAAATTAAAAAAATAAAAAAGAATATAAAAAGGATTATTGATTAAATTTATTTCAATTAAAAATAAGATATATTCTTTATGTGATTTTTTTAAATTAAAAAAGAAATAGAAAAGGATTTTAAAAAAATCACTGATTAAATTTATTTTAATTAAAAATAAAATATATTCCGTTGGTAATTTTTTAAATTAATAAAAAGAAAAAATTTTGATTAAATTACTGACGAATTTACGATAAAATTTAACTAAATACATAACTAATTAAAATTCGTCAGTGAAAAAATATAATCAATAAAATTCAAGCACGATCTTTCACAATTATTCATATGTTACTGTGTTAGAACGTCTAACGGTGATCAAGTTAGCCATCAATTAGATATAAATAATCAATACATTTATATCAATGAAAACTAGCGACGAATTTTAAATAGTCATATATTTAGTTAAATTTTATCATTAAGCCGTCAGTAATTTAATCAAATTATTTTTTATTTTTTAATTTGAACAATCATCAACGGAATATATTTTATTTTTAATTAAAATAAATTTAATTAGTAATCATTTTTAATTTTTATTTTATTTTTTTTAATTTGAAAAATCACTAACAGAATTTTTTTATTTTTAATTAAAATAAATTTCATCAATAATCTTTTTTAAACGTAAATATTTTTTTGATATATTTATTTCATTTTATAGATGCAAGTAAATTTTTGTTCAAAAAATGTTTATAAACTTAACCATTTAAAATATAGAAGTTTATTGGTTTTTTTTCCAAAAATTTTCTATTATTTTACCATATTAACCAATTTTATAACTCATAAGAATGTATCTAACAAGTTTTAGAAAGTTCAAGAAATTATTTAACAGGTTTTAGAAAGTTCAAGAAATTATTTAACAGGTTTTGGAATGTCCAAAAAATTACCCACCAACTAAATCATTTAGAAAGTCCTTTCCCTTTCCTTCGTGAAATGAGAGTAGAAGACTCAGAAACACAACCTTAGATAAGACAACTGGGAGCGTTTGGCATTCCTTTAAGCTATGTTTCGCAATATTGTTGATAAATTAGTCATGTTTGGTAAAAACCAACTTAAAAACTTTATAATATAAAACGATATAAAAAAACATACTAAAAATTACTCGATTATAACAAATACAGGACATGAATTAGTTTTTCAAAAAGCTAGCGTTAAACGAAACAAATTCAAAAAGCAAGAAACATGGTCTTAGGGGTTTCGAGAAGGGGTTCGAACAGCTAACAGCCCCCCTTTTTTGAACAAAACTTGCATGATGAAGATCAATGGCTGGATTTAAGTACAACACTTGCGCAATGCAAGACGTTTTAAAGTATGGTTGATGGGACCAAACAGAACCAATAAATCTCACAAAAAGATAGGGTCCGAGGATATGATGTAGACAGATATTGACTCTACCTTAAAGAAGCAATAGGTAAATAGTCATTTGCATAGTTGAAGATGTTTCAAGTAGAATGGCCCCCATTGGCCTGGCCCTGTGATGTACAGCAGCACTGTAAACAAGTTTGATAAAAGTTAGCACATTTCCATTATGCAAGCATAGAGGGCATATACAGTATGATGCATACAGTTATAGACACCATAAGTTAGCACATTTCCAAAACATTCGTTGTTTGCAGAGACGAAAAGGTATCAAACACAACCAACTATGATGACAACTATGAATTCTGGGTTCGTACTTGAATCTCATTTCTCACGTTTAGAAATTATCCTATCCTGAAGCAGTCAGAGGGTAAAAAAAACCATGCGACACCAAAAGAGCATCTTATTTATCATTCTCAGCCATCAAAATGGATTGTTGGTAAGCGTCCCTTACCCGATAAGTGCTAACCGAGTAAGAGTTTTCTCCCTCAAAATGGATTGGGTAAGATTCTTGGTCCTTGCAAATGCTCACCCACTAAGCATTTACCGGGTCAGCGCTTGGTAAACAGCCTTAGAAGGCTCTTTGTGAATAAAGAAATGAAAAATATATCAAAACTAAGAAAACTTAGAGAACAGTAAAGTAAAGCAACATATTGGAACTATATCATCCCTCAGAAACAAGATGCTGAAAACCATTGAACTTCCTTCTTTCCAGTTTCATGTCTAGAAATGGTTCTCAAGAAAATAGCCACTTGGCTCTCTATTTTGTGTTGTACCTAAATGTCCTTTTTTTCAACTTGGGTTCATACAGCTAAAGGCATCCTTCAGCTTTTCATAAATCCATAAAAAAATTTGATTCAGGAAACAACATTACTCGTGAACCATCAAGTGCAACAAAGCTCAACCATACAACAGGACGTGTATAATGCACCAGGTGTTACTTGGCTCTATTTGCAAGTGCCAATTTGAAATCGTAAGGGGTAGTTCAATAGTCGACGATCTCATGCTAAGTTCTAGATTTAGCTAGATTTAGTTTCATCGCGAAAGCCATAACTACTGCATATGAGTGGCAAAAAAGAAGTATACAGACATATTGGTTTATTGAAATAAAGAAATTATTTTGTAGGTACAACAGTGATTACCATCTCAAGGAGCAGCCGAGCAGGTAAGAGGAATGGTGCAAGGAGTTAATACAGCACAGCCACCGGTCACAAGGCCAAGTAACACCTGGCAGACATGCTTCATGAAAAGTTACAGCACATCACAAAAGGGCAATGCACAGATTTAGAAGGTTAGCAAGAATAATACAAACAACATAAATTTAACTATAATAGAGTAACTAATGATTAGAGAATGATAGAACCCCCATCGGGGAGTGAAATAGAACATGAAACCATAAGCTCCCAAGCAGTAGGCGGAGCCCGGGAAAGTGAATTGTATTCCATGAATATGATATCTATCTAGTGTGTAAAAGAGACTACGGTCTAGGTCTAGGGCTGTTTAGATTTTCTCTTAAAGGATACCCATAAAAGCCTTTGCTCTTCTAACTTGTGTATGATAAAAAGAAGACCTTGTATATGGTGCCAAGAGTTACTATTGAGCCTTATCTCTTTACCTACAGAATCTACACCCCATGTCATGTAGGATATGTTCAATTTGCTTTATATATTCTCTAACACATAGAATTACAAGAAAAAACTTCCTTAGAAACAAATATGAAGGATAGTTTAGCCCAAAAGTACAAACTTATAATCATGCTTCATATGATCAATGATGTCTAGGCTCCCTAATCCCTACAGATAATCAAGTAAATTTTTGTTGATACTAGTGAGTTGTCAGAATGCAAACATGCTCATAACAAAATCTTGATGTTATCGCTTTCAGTGAGACAAAGATAAATAGCGAAGGGGATGCTTTTTGGGACCGAGGCAATATAACTTATGACACTTGATTTCATATTTTAATGATCAATAATTTTCTGGCTACAAGAGAACAGATAAAAGACAACTTATTGATCATCTTGGGAATCCAACAAATCAGCTCAGCTGCTATAAAAAGACAAGGGCTGGCACATAGTAAGCTTCTCCTGCCAGAAAAAAAACAATTAGTATCACAGAGGTTGAAGGTGACAAATAGATCCTAGTAGCGTTGGTTATGAAAGGAAATCAAAAGACAATAGAAGATCATATCTCATGCCGACATAATTAGAAGTCAGTTTTTCTTTGCACAGTGTCCTTCATTGTACACAAAACACAAGAAATGAAGCACATTATGATCCATGTTACTACCAAAATTCTACAACACCTAAGACAATCAATAACATAAATGAGTTCTATTTAGTAGTCACCTTAATTTACACCAATATAGCAGTAAATTCTGGATAGCTACTTGCACTTCTGTTGCTCTAGCTTACAAATGCGGGAATATAACTTATATCATCTCAATTCTCATAACAAGAAACAGGTAAAAACTTGATTGTTTTCATATGTTCAAGACATAGTATTAAACTTTAACAACAGATGCGCTACACTGAAAACAAAGAGGTGGCTAACCATCACTATAGCCAATCTTGCTGCTGCAACTTCAGCGGCAGGTATACCTCTGATAGATACTGAAAACCAAATGTGCTCAATGCCTGAATTTCCGCTTTCTGCTTTGTCTTCACCATTAGGTTCAACTCCTCAACCCAGCCAGGATTCTTCTTCACGAAATCTTCCTCCAACAAATCCTTACCAGTCTTAATATCCTGCTCAGTCATAGCCAACCTACACTGTTCTGGTATCTTATACTTGTCCAAGTCACTAGGCCTAATCCCCAACCACTTTATATCCGGTGTAGTCAAATTTGCACTATCATAAGACATGTTCTTTGATCCACAGCCATATACAGACAGGATCTTCAAACCATAAGGGTCGCTGTCTACAAGAGCCAACACAGGTAATTTCAGCTCCATCTTCATCTTCCTCAAGAACAACCTGGTAGCAACATCAGGTTGCCCTTTTGCTGTCACGATAATGCAGGGAAATCGATTGTAAAATCGGTCCTCAGCTAATCGCATATAAGCAGCATCTTTTTCAACTAAGAGTATGAACAATGCATCACTTTGCATATCACCAACTCTGTCTATATTTGGAGGAATCGCTTTCCCTCCAATTCCCATTTTCGTACAATCAATCATATCGCCATTGTCACTGAAAATAAGTCTGCCTACAACCACCCCCTTTTCAGCTGCAACAACATTCAGTGAAGACCTGGTGCAGCCTAAAATACAAGAAACATCATCCAAAACGGCATCGGATTGGGTCTGGTCTTGAAAAAGCTTGACATCAGTATAGAATAGGTCACGTTTCGTGACATGGATATTTTTTAGGGAAAGTTGGTGGATGAGCGAGAGGATACGGGTTGTAATGGTGGTTTTACGGACGGTAGATACAGAGGCGTAGGGGCGGATGGAGGATTTATCCTTGAGAACAATGCGATCCAGCTCAGGGACGTATAGTTGGTTGGTGGCGGCGCGTGAGGGGACGGAGAAGGAGAATCCGTTGCCGGCGAGGATTGATTTGGCAAGGGATATGGCTAATGTTTGGATCTCAGTTTGGACGGAGGATAAAGCCAGGTCGGTGACTTCACGGCAGGTGGATGATAGATCGAGGTCGGAGAGGGTTAGGGTTTTAGAAGTTGAGGCTGATTTGGTGGCTTCAGTTAGGGTTTTGAGTATGGATAGGATGGCGGCATCTGGCTTCAAGCGATTTTTAAAGGGAAGACGAACAGATTCGTCGTCGGAATCGGAGTCTGCTCGTCGGCGTTTTCTCTTTTCCGCCATTATCGATGGATCAAGTGAGAGTGGGAGTAGGAGTAGGAGTAGGAGTAGGAGGCGGGAAAATGTAGAAGGAAGTGAGATTGGTGAGGGTTTACGTGTGTTCACTGTATTATTCGGACCGAGGGTACGTGTGCTCTTCTATGTTTAAATTAGGGGACTGATAATGTCCGGTTGTTAATTGTTTTGATAATATAAGATATTAAAATCAATTAAACTACCTCTTTACCCACATAATACGGTGAGAGTCATGAATTTTAATAATTTTGAAGTTTCACTAGTTTTATTAAAGAAGATTTAACGATAATATAAGTTACATTTGGTCTTTACATATTAATACAATTTGAATAAATAATAGTTATAGTTCCAATTACAGTCTATCAATGGAAAAAATTGTATGACAGTTTAAAATCTAAAATATTTAAAATCCAACATATTTAAACGACTCCACAAATGTATTCAATTTACACCAAGAACAAATAATCAAGAGATCGAGACCGAGAGTTTCTATAGCAATTGAATGAGAGATGAATGAGAGAACTTTTAATAACTCATGATGAATATCAGTTTGAAATTTGAATATCATATTGGGGGATGGGGAGAAGACATAGAGGTATGAGAGAGTGAAGACATAAGTGAAAAATGTCAAAAGTATCTTTGAAACATAAAGAAAAAAAAAGTAATAATGTGCATTGGTAACTTATACTATATGTTATTTTAATTGTATATTAAGGGATTTTAAGGCTGAATGCATAAAGTGATAATACTTAATGCATTATAAGTTGTTTTTAAGACTTTTAAGACTTTGTGCATAAATGTATAGTACTTTATGCATTAAAAATTGTTATTAAGACTTTTGATAAATCTGGTTTATAAGGTAATATAAAGGGTTAAATGCATGAAATAGCAACTTACTTTCATAAAATTTCTTATTATAGCATTCTACTTTTGTTTTTATTTATTACAACAATGTACTTTAAAAAATCTACCCATAATAGCAATGAGTAACTTGTTACCTTTTAAACCGGTTAACCCTTTGAATTTTTTGCTTGTGTGGCTTTAATGAGGTGATGTGGATGCCACATCATTTTGATGACTTAACTAAAATTAAAATTAAAATTTATTTCAAATTATTATTAGTGATTTTCATTTTTCATTGCTATGATCTAAAAAAAGAATTAATTTTTAATACTTTTTCTTATTAAGTTGCATTCAAATTAAATATTTTTGAAGTAAAATATTTATTAAATAAATATGAAACATCATTTTCGAGATATATTTTGTTTGTAGAAAATGTAACTTTTCCTATTTTATGTTGTTCAAATAAATACATATCTTTTAAAGTTCTCTTTAAAATATTAACGAAATAAATTGTTATCTATATTTTTTTAATATTGTTATATTAATAAATAATTCAAAAAGTTTAATTAATTTAATATATTTATACGTCAAGTAAAAAGTTTTTGAACAAATATAATATATTATTTAAAAGATAATATTTTTTTGGTAAAAAAATGAACAATTCTTATTTTTCTTTTTTCAAAAAACACATATTTTAAAAATGTTAGCGAGATAAGTTGTGTTCTACTAGTTTTATTGATATTGGTATATTAATGAATAATTTAGAATTTTTTTAAATTCATTTAATACATTTATTAAATAACATGTAAAATATCTAAATATTAAATTTAAAAATACAGTGTTTAATAAGAACTAGTAGATGCTATAATAAAATAATTTTGAAAGTACAATGATGTAGTAAAAAAGTCACATCATTATAGTACATGTGGACAGCCTACGTGGACAATGAGGTGGCATGGAAACCTAGTATAATGGGTAAATTTAAAACAAAAGGTTRCCTAATGCTATAATGGGTAAATTTTTCAAAGTACAATGTCCTAATAAAAAATAGTTTGAAAGTACATTGCTGTAATAAGAAAAACTGAAAGTACAATGCTATAATAAAGAAATTTATGAAAGTAGATTGCTATTTTGTGCATTTTGTCCTAATATAAATATAGATAACATAATATATTCTATTATTATCGTTATTGTTTTATGTATTAATATACATAATACGATATATTATACACACACATGTGTGCATATATATATATATATATATATATATATAAATCTGTGTATACACTTCAAACATATTATATATTATTAAAAAGAGTACTCGTATAATGTAACGAGATGCATTTTGATTTTAAATGTTTTTTTGTCCCAATCGATATTATAATACAATTTTATGAGGTTTTAAGAAAACGACAATATATTATTTTAATAATAAAATATAAATATGAATGTATCATAAAAGATTGAAAAAAGTATATTTATATTAGTCAAAGTAACTATTTAATTTTTTTTTTTTTGTGTATTTCTTTAATTCATTTTTTCTTTAATTTTTGATTTAATAATAGAATTCTTATAAATATAATAATTAAATATTTTTGTTATAACTCAACAATTATTCTAATTATACCTATAGATTTTTTATATTTAAAATGAGATGTTTATCCTATATGTTATGTTTATTCTATATACGGTGACTTCGGGCTATCTGCAAAGCAAGTGGTCGTCCTAGGATTAGTCGGCTCGTATAGCGGGTTAGATATCCAAGTTAATAAAAAAAAATTCAATAAGTTATACTTATGCACAATTTATTTATAATCTTGAATTTTAAGTGAAATGCATCATTGAATAGTACTTCATGCATAAAAATTGTTGTTGAGAGTTTTTGTTAATTAGTTATAATATAGTATAGATTATTATTATATATTAATGATATGTTCATACTTGTTATTATTAGAGAAAAAGTTTTAAAAAAAAACCCAACAAACTTTTTTATTTTAAGTGGTTTAGTCCATAAATTATTTTTTAAATGAAAAAACAATTAAATTTTCTCATTTTGAATGATTAAGTTCCTAAATTGTTTTTTTAAATGAAAAAATCATTAAACTTTCCATTTTTGAAAAAAAATCATTAAAATTTTTCATCTTGATTGATTAAGTCTCTAAACATTTTTCTAATAAATAAATCATCGCATTTTAAAAAATTGTTTACCGACATTCTTTTCCCAAAAAAATGTTACATTAAACCGACTAATAAAAGTTTGATGTCTTATTTGTTTAAAAAAACAGGGTCTTAATCATTTAAAATATGAAACTTAATAGTTTTTATTAAAAAAAATAGTCACGGGACTCAATCATTCAAATAAAAAAATTTAAATGATTTTATTATTTAATAAAACAGTTTAAAAACTAAACTATTCAAAATGACAAAGTTTGTTGAGTTTTTTTTTTAACTTTTTCAAAAAAAACCTTTCAATTCAACTATGTGGGTATTAATGTTATAACTTTTTAACAATGATATTTAAATTTGTTGATCCTCTCTCTCARTGATTTGATGATAATCCCTTTTTCCTTTCGATGTATTTCTGTATCTGTAATCTCAGTTCCAGCGATCATACACTGAGCTTGTTCAGTGATCGCTGAAGAACTTGTTTTGTAATTCATTCAGAGACAACGATACTTCAAGAAAACAACA